TTTCTATTTAACAGGGGAAGCTTGGACCAATGAGTGGGCAATAAAGTTGTAAGTTTAACTATCAGGTCACAATCCAATAGAAAGTATGCCTGCAAGAGAAGAAATAATGGTACTTCTTCGTAGTTAGAATGAACCAACAATAACATAGTAAACGTAAAGATTTGAAACGAGTGGGCATAAGAAGGTATCACTTAAAAATCCATGGGTAGGGATGATAGTGGACCTAGAAAAAATAGGTATTCATCCAAACCCGTCCCGTTTGGACCGGGGATGGACTATAAGTATTGGACGGTAGATGTATACGGGGATACCCGTATACACCTGTGTGGGGATGAAGGCGGGGATGGACTTACCCCTACCCCTGCCCCGTCCCTGTTATACCCTTTAAACATAGCACCTTATTACTTATTGTTGCTTCCTTACTGTGTTTTATAGATGTCTACTGGGTACTCTTTTTTGGTTTCAACTTTCCTTATCAACACATGTGGCAACGTAATGGGAAAAGTTAAGTTCATTTTAAATCCAAATAAGTGTATAAGGCTGGGTAATACAATAATCAAGCAAATAGCAGAAATCCAAAACAATAATCATACCAACAATAGATATGATAAAGAAAATAGCAATGTGAGGTGGCCTTCGTGTTAGACAGCAAATGGAAGCCACCTAGCACAACTAATATTTATAATTATACTGCGATGAGTGCAAAAACTTTCAAATTTTGATTAGATACAAAATCAGTAGATAATGGAGGTGAGAAACAAATACAAACTTACCAATCAAGCATTAGGCACTGGTTGAAACCAGAAGTTCACTGGTTTAGTTTCACCCTAAGTCTTTGTGATGTACATTTACAAAAGAGAGAAAACATATTCAATAACTCCAAAGAGATAATTCCAGCTGCTCTATTTTTTTAGCTAGATCATGGTTCCCATAATTCTTTAATCCATCAGTAACCATTTCAAAGTTTCACGACATGGGCGATAAATTCAACTCTGTCATCTCAACCAAATAATTAGCAACCTCAACAAATCTACCACCACGTCCACACATCTTTATTAACATGGTATTTAAAATGTTAGATTATTTAGAATGTTGTTGGATTATTTAAAATGTTGAATTTATTTAGAATTTTGGATTATGTTGGCTTGAACTTGGGTTTGGGCTTAGGCTTGGGTTTGGGCTTGAGCGGGTACGGGGAAAGCGGGGACAAGAATGGGGATTATAAATTTATTCGTGGACGGGGGATGGAGATGAAAATTATCCCTATTAACGGGGGTGGACCGGGAATGGACGGAGTTTTTTTAAGCGGGTACGGGGATGAATACTATATCCCCCACCCCCGCTTTGGTCTACTGGCATCCCTATCCATGGGTCTTATCTAATGAAACAAAATCCAACAATTGTCGAAGAATTTTGTTGCGTAATGGATATATATCATTGTTACTTATCCCAACAGAGGTTATTTTTACTTTTAAGATGTTAACATTTGTTTGATACCTTTATTGCCATGACTGGTGATATATGAAACATTTGTAGTACAACTCAAATGGTCTTCTCACTACACAAATGCTCTAATTTAAATGCAGTTGTTGACATACCGAAAGGCTGTTGTTGTTGCTTCTACACTATAGGAAATGTTGAAAGTTCAAGATACATTGACAACTTTATAAATTATTCATGGGCTGAAGATAGAAATAACGATTTACTATTAATTTTGACTCTCTTTTTTTGGCTTGATAAAAATAGTACATTTTTTTTTACATCTAAAAAAAATAGAGTTTTCACATGTATTATCAAACAAATTATATGGAAAAATTTCTTTGGAAAAAAAACTAATTTAGGACTTGTGTATACAATATTTCTCACAGAACATGGTCTACGTGCAACGCACGTGTGCACCAATTAGTATATTACAAAATTCTGGCTAAAGATCTCTAATTGACAAAAAGCAACTAATTTGCCTATTAATTTGCAATACTACAAGAAAATAATAATAAACTCTGATATAGAAAATATGAGTACCATTTTGTATTCTTATCTTTCATTTTGGTGTAAGGAGTTGAAAGGGGACAATAATTTGTCAAGTGTACTCAATTATCATTAGGTGGAAAACATTATGAGAATATTTATTACATAATTCTAAAAGCTTGCGAGGGATTGTATCTCGTAAAGGCCTTAAACAATATTTATTACAGATTAATAGCAAATTTTATGAAAATAACTATCAAACAATAACTTAGAAAACATAAATACTCACGCAAGTATACCACAACCTGCTAAGCAACCGAAAGGCTAGACCCTTAGAAGCAAAATTTTGCAAATGAGTTGATTTTAGTGGCCGTGAAGCAAAACTTATGGTTCTATTTACTTGCAATTGAATGGGAGTCTTAGAAGTTGTGCCCGTATGGATACTCGTATAGAAGTCTTTATGCCTTGATTGTATGTAGGTTGCTCCTACTTTTTGATCCAACGTTTTGAAGAGGATTGTAGACCGGTGCATTATGACAAATTCATATTTACTATTAGAATCCTACAAGCCAAAAAATAACAATAATTAACTTGATCAAAATAGTTGTGCTAACATGGCGTGATGCATATGGTTAAATACATGTGACATATGTATACCTGAGATGAATGTGTAGAAGTATTACATAAAAAATAAGCGTCGCAATTATCACTTTGACCACAAAGAGCATAGTTAATATTCTGCACAACCACCTATTGAAATAAAATGAGCAAAACATGATCATTGTGCCANTCACTTAAAAATCCATGGGTAGGGATGATAGTGGACCTAGAAAAAATGGGTATTCGTCCAAACCCGTCCCGTTTGGACCGGGGATGGACTATAAGTATTGGACGGTAGATGTATACAGGGATACCCGTATACACCTGTGTGGGGATGAAGGCGGAGATGGACTTACCCCTACCCCTGCCCCGTCCCCGTTATACCCTTTAAACATAGCACCTTATTACTTATTTTTGCTTCCTTACTGTGTTTTATAGATGTCTACTGGGTACTCTTTTTTGGTTTCAACTTTCCTTATCAACACATGTGGCAACGTAATGGGAAAAGTTAAGTTCATTTTAAATCCAAATAAGTGTATAAGGCTGGGTAATACAATAATCAAGCAAATAGCAGAAANTTAGCACTGTTGTGACAACATTGAGAGAAACAATTGAAAAATACACTATCTCACAACTTCACTAATCCACATGTATGTGCCCATTAGAAGATTGTAAAACTTAGCACTAATTTCAATTAAGTTCAATTAATATAGTTGTACCACATAAGTTATGCCACTATTTCAAGTAGTTCTCCAAGAACAACAACAGGACCAACAACTTGACAAATTAGGGAAATGGAAGCCTCTAGAGAAGTTTTTGAACAAGAAAATAGTTGAGTAGTTGGTCAATTAACCATTGTCAAAGGAAACTCTATTCCTAAAGCAAATGGAAAGATAACACCAAACTGAGCAAAAGTCTTGACTTGTAATTTACAAAAATTCAACCTCTCAAATTACAACATGTAACTTCTTACATAATTTTTTTTTTCAATGGCTATCAAAGATGAATCAATAACAAATGGGTTGCATGACTTAAATTATTGCATAGTTGAATTGAGTGGATTCTTCGGTCTTCCCATAAAGTAGAAATCAAACAAAAGACTTGTAAATTCTCATACTCTTTCTTTTTCTTAATTCATAACACTCAAATAGAGGGCAATGTTCAGACCCTTGTTTTGGTTCCTCAAATATGTGGTTTACCTTCAGTAAACAACTATGGATTGCTATTCGTATATGTTGAAAGAAAAAAGAAGGTGCCAAAAGGTAGTTTTACCTGATTCACCCAAATCAAGTTTCTCCTGATGTCTCTCAACCACACCACCAGCTTTCAATTCATAAATAATCTGCGACACCATTACTAAAATTATTATATGATGACGTTAAATAATCAATAAAATTAAGGATAGGAGAGAATCTGAAGAATCAAAACAAAAAACCAATTCGAGACCGCTACGTGATTGGAGGATTCGGCCGTGAGAAGCTACCGATGAATAAGGTGCAATTGAATGTTATTGTTGTTTGTCAGATGAAATAATCTCAAAGCAACATAAATTAAATTTTTGAGATCATAAAACACTTAACAAGAAAAACCAACAATTGAACAAGAAAAATGCAGAGGTCTTTAAGTGAGAGCTCTCATGCATTTAAAACAATATTTCTATCATCACTCACTGACAGTTACAAGTTTTGAGTCTTTTGATTCAACCAAACAATGTCATTTTTGGTATCCAGAAGGTCAGCCAATAGCTCTGCTAGGGATTCAAATGACCTAATAGACCATCAAGTAGGGTGGTCTAGTGGCGTACCAGTCTTACTCCTCATCTTGAGGTTGGAAGTTCGAGTCTTGAAATCCCTATTGGGGCTTGGTAGTTGGCCTCTATACTAGTCTAGTTAGGTCTGGTCCCAAGAGATGTTTCAGGTCTGGTTTCGAGAGGTGTTTCAGGCGCGGTCAGAGCCTTATAATCCCACCTATGAGGGTCTATCGAGGTGGTCGCTAAAAACTCTTCCTTACCCCCACCTCTTTTTTTCAATATAAAAAAAAAAATGACCTAATAGAGTTAGATAAGAGTATAAAAAGAAAATAAATATTTTTCAAGGTTAGTGACTTTTATAAGTAGTATATGTATGTGTATATATATATATATTAATCGGATCAAATTTTTATCGAATATAATTTTTATATATTTATATTTATATCCAATTTATAATATGTAAACCAATTCGAATTCGTATCCAATTAAATGAATTTACATTCGGATCGAATTGACCTAAATTCCGATCTGTTGAGAAGCTGGCCTAGCTGATGGTACTTGTTCCAGCCCAAAATCTACAGAAACCACAATTACCCAAACACCCATGCTACTCTTCCCAAATATCTAACCTACCCACAGGCACCAACACTTCATAAACACAAACCGCCTCTCTTCCGGTGCAGTTTCTCTGGCTCTGCTAGTGATGGCTAAAGGCGATGATGCGATCAGGAAAAAGAAGAACAAAAAGAATCGAAAGAAAGATGCTTCCTCCAAGGTCTCCAATCGTGTCGCTGCCATAATCGCCTCCAAGAAGCGGCGACTCTCTGGCAAACGTCGAATGTGTCAGGTAATTCAATGTCGAAGCAATCTCAGTTTTGAGTTCTTGAGTGTTGGGTTTTATGAGTTCTGCGAACTGGGTTACGGTGCTTGTGACGCGTTTTCTTGAAATAAAGAAGGGAGAGATCATTGTTGGCAGCTTCTTTCAAGAATTTTTGTTTCGGCAAGACACATGCGTTGGTTTTAATTCTTTCCTTCCGAGGAGTTAAAATAGGAAATTTGATGAAAATAAGATCTGGGTTTGAATTATTTATGTGGGTTTTAATATGTAGAATAGAATTGGTTAGGATTGATACCAGTTACGCAATAATTATTATTTGATGTTGAAGTTTTAAATTCATATGCTAAGTTCTCCTTGGTTTTTATATCTAGAAACAATATAAGTTTGGTGGATGCTGTGAGTGTTGGGCGTTGCATGCAGAATTAGTGGAATGTTGAGGTTTAGTTTTTAGATATTTTGACTTGGATTGAGTTGGGTTGTAATATGTGTGTTTCCTTATATGGAAATCAAGACATCCTATGTTGAAGAATTCGTATTGGATTCAAGATATTTACTTGATTTGTTTTAATTTGATCAAGTTACATGGATGTTAGATATTTGAGTGAAAGATCAATATCTGCACTCTTGAGTCTCACACTTTATGTTTTGGCTCTGCACATGTTAAGGTTGGATGACATTGAGGTGTCAATTTGTTTTCCGCCCCCACTAGGATTGGAGAATTTGCATCCCCCCCTCCCCCAATTCATGCATTTTGGCTCCTCATCTTTATGAATTGAGACCTGTCTCGTGTAGTTGCAGCAACTCGCAGGGAGCACCTTAGTATACGATTGTGTGCAGTAACTGGGAGTTCTTTAACACAATTTACCAAACCAAGGTTAATCTCAATTAGTGATTGTGGACTCGTACAAGTATATTGAGAAGATGGCTGATGTACTAGACTCGACCCAATGTTTCGTAGCATGTGTTCCCCTCCATGCATGGGTTGATGTGAACTTCTCATTAATATTGTTCCCTTGTTGTTGATGAAGGCTTCATAAGATAAGTAAATATGGGGTTTGCTTGCGCACGTTCCTCAGTGACTGTTTCATTTTTTTGATTGATATGGGCTACAACCCATCATTAGGTGTTGATGAGAAGCTCTTCTTCCTGTTGTGCTCCATATCTGACTGATTTCTATTTAGCTTTTATAACGACATGTGATTGACATCTCATAATGCGAAGTATTGGCAAAGAATAAGACCAAAAAGTTCATTTTCATGAATTATTGTGGCGAGAGACTATTGTTAAATCTTACTGGTTTGTATGCGTTTTGGTATCGCTATGTGATATTGGATTTGGTATGTTTTGATGTAATATCATTGTTCTTAAATATATGACTCTACAGGGAATGTGTTTCAGCCTTCCCACTCCCGAGGATCCCTTCAATGACCGACATCAGAAAGTGGATTTTGGCAAAAAAGAAATCAAGAAACCTAGGCCTTTAAAAGCAGATCACAGGTTTAATACTGGCAAAGAGAGTGTTGCATCAAGAAAAGGAGCTCTGGATATGAATCACATGAAGGTAGATAACCAAGAACATAACATGGTGAAAGTTAATAAATTGGCGAATGAGCAAAAGATGTTATGTAGACATGTTAAAAAAGCGGGGCAAAAATATGGTGTTAAGCTAGGAGAAGCAGAGATCCAGCTAACTGATGAGAGGGTAGCCATCCATGCCCAACAAGGGCATGCTGATGAAAACACAGGTTTTCCATCAAAGTTTTTAATTTTGTGCTTAAATACAATTGAGATTGCTTTGCGGCAAGAGGGAGCCTTCAGCAGTGAAGAGGACAAGCCTTTATTCGTTGACCCATGGGGAGTAAAGTTTTGGAAATGCTATTCTATTGGGAAATATATAGCAGAGACAAGTGGAGCTTCTACAACAGAGCAAATTGGTTGGATGGCTTCAACTGCTGCTGATACCATAGCAAGAAAGGAGAAAGAAGGTCAATCATTCACTAGTCCCTTTCTTTTATTCCTCGTGCCATCCCAAGAGAAAGCTACCAAGGTTTGCAGTTTTTTATTTTCTGGTTTTCTTAATAGTTATTGTATTTTAGGGATGACTTATGAGCCTGTTATGGCTATATACCCTTTCATCCATGGTCTTGGTCTTCATGCATAATGCCTTCTAAGATGATGCAGTTTACACATGCTGCTTGATCCCACTTATTGTTTTGTGAATATTTTGGTGACGTGACGAGTTGAAAAGAAGGCTTAGCCCAGCCCTTAAATCATCTATATTGGTTTTAAAAAGGCTGTTTATGGGGCGATGTATTATATTAGATTGGAAACATGACATGCAAGGATTTGGTATTCTTGGGATGAATACTCTATTGCAGTTTAAGTTATTTACACTGTGACCCCTGTCTAAAAAGAAGGATTATATTCTATTTGTTCCTGGATCCATATTAAGCTTTGCTAAACAAAAATATTTCAGTTGGTTGATAATAGTCTTTTAATTATGTTAAGGTACGCATAGTGTGTAAGCCATTGAAGGCTTTGGGAATACATACAGTCAGTCTGCATCCCGGTGCCCCTACAGATCATCAAATTCATGGGTAAGTACTAAATCCTCAACAAAAAATCTCCCACACCCCAAAAAATGGCCCCCTTTTGTTTGTTATGTTGCCCATATTGATGTCTCACAGAGGAGAGCAGTTTGTTAAAAGTCTGAACTGTTAATTTTGATTGTCTTAATGCAATCGTGGTTATTCTTGGTGGAAGTGGATCACCCCCATTGAGCCACATTTATGTTCAAGTGTGTTTTAGGGCTTTTGCCATAAGCTAACATGCTTGTGCATTCTTTCATTTGGTGATCTGCACATTTATAAAGATGAATTTAGGCTGAGCGCTACGTGCCATGCGCCATGCGCCTTTTTACGTTGAGCAATCTAGACTAGAATTTAGTATTCTTTTTTTCTTTCGAAGTCCCTCATATAAAACTGCATTGTGACAGTCTAAAAAGTTGTGAGCCTGAGTTCCTTGTGTCCACACCTGAGAGACTTCTGGAGCTTGTTTCCTTGAAGGCTGTTGACATCTCTGGAGTTTCCTTTCTGGTAATTTCTTAAGTTCCTTTTCTTTTAATTATATAGTCAATTATTTCTCATATTTCGAAAATAATTTCATATGTTTTCATCTTATTTTACATCTTCTATTTCTAGAAAAGGTGAATATTTTGACTGTTATTATTTGTTGAAGAAATGAAATTGAGAGGAAATGAGAGAAAATAAATGTTTCCTTCCCCCCCCCCCCGGTCTAAACATGCATTCTGCTTGCAGTTGTTACATTCTAATTTCTCCTTTTTCCTTTTAAGAAAAGATTTAGGCGAAACTTAAATACTATATTTTTGGCCCTGGTGTTCTGTTGCCCAATATGTATTGATTTTTATATATATGGAGAAAGCTTGGCTGTGATGGGGGACAAAGCCTTATTTAAGACAATAAAGCCTGTCCTGTGATCAGATCATAGTGGTCTAGGGCTTTAAATTTTAGGATTTATTTGAGAGTGTAGGGTTTGGGCATGGACATGGATTTAGTTTTTAGTTGGTCAATGCTGAACACTGATGTGGTAAAAAATTCTGGCCAGAATTAAAAAGTCAGGGATTTGAGGCTGTTATGGAGGCATATTATAGTGATGGTTTTGGAACCATAGGGTTTTAGGACTAATATTGGTGTGATTGATAGCTAGTAAATTGCTATGTTTTCACAGCAACACTGGAAGTGAACGATTAGTATGATGGAGGAGAACGAGAAGACGAAAATGTAATATCTTATAGTCTCACTAAAGGCCTTGTAGGGGGGCTCACTTAGAAGAAACTTTGATGGAGTTCCACCATTGAAGAAAGCAAATTGTTGAATACCCAAGGCTTGCTNGCTTTTGCCATAAGCTAACATGCTTGTGCATTCTTTCATTTGGTGATCTGCACATTTATAAAGATGAATTTAGGCTGAGCGCTACGTGCCATGCGCCATGCGCCTTTTTACGTTGAGCAATCTAGACTAGAATTTAGTATTCTTTTTTTCTTTCGAAGTCCCTCATATAAAACTGCATTGTGACAGTCTAAAAAGTTGTGAGCCTGAGTTCCTTGTGTCCACACCTGAGAGACTTCTGGAGCTTGTTTCCTTGAAGGCTGTTGACATCTCTGGAGTTTCCTTTCTGGTAATTTCTTAAGTTCCTTTTCTTTTAATTATATAGTCAATTATTTCTCATATTTCGAAAATAATTTCATATGTTTTCATCTTATTTTACATCTTCTATTTCTAGAAAAGGTGAATATTTTGACTGTTATTATTTGTTGAAGAAATGAAATTGAGAGGAAATGAGAGAAAATAAATGTTTCCTTCCCCCCCCCCCCGGTCTAAACATGCATTCTGCTTGCAGTTGTTACATTCTAATTTCTCCTTTTTCCTTTTAAGAAAAGATTTAGGCGAAACTTAAATACTATATTTTTGGCCCTGGTGTTCTGTTGCCCAATATGTATTGATTTTTATATATATGGAGAAAGCTTGGCTGTGATGGGGGACAAAGCCTTATTTAAGACAATAAAGCCTGTCCTGTGATCAGATCATAGTGGTCTAGGGCTTTAAATTTTAGGATTTATTTGAGAGTGTAGGGTTTGGGCATGGACATGGATTTAGTTTTTAGTTGGTCAATGCTGAACACTGATGTGGTAAAAAATTCTGGCCAGAATTAAAAAGTCAGGGATTTGAGGCTGTTATGGAGGCATATTATAGTGATGGTTTTGGAACCATAGGGTTTTAGGACTAATATTGGTGTGATTGATAGCTAGTAAATTGCTATGTTTTCACAGCAACACTGGAAGTGAACGATTAGTATGATGGAGGAGAACGAGAAGACGAAAATGTAATATCTTATAGTCTCACTAAAGGCCTTGTAGGGGGGCTCACTTAGAAGAAACTTTGATGGAGTTCCACCATTGAAGAAAGCAAATTGTTGAATACCCAAGGCTTGCTAATATGGAAGTAAAGATCACACAATTTAGAAACTATGAAGTGTGAAAATTGATTCTAGATAGCGTATTTCGTAAACTAATTTATAACTAATTATTTCAAATAGAAAAAGGACTAGATAAGACCATAACCAGAGAAGTTCTGAAGCCGAACACTAGCCATAAGAATTTCATAAAATATCCCATTGTAATTTCACCAAAATATCCTTAGTTTGGGAACCTCCAAATTTTTAACTGAGCAGGAACTAGAATCATTATTCAAGTCTAGCTTCTGGCCACATGTCACCAATGGTGGGCCTACATGGCGGTTTCTCTTCTTGCTCCTTTTTCATGGATAGGCTTTGAGCTCGTGAGACCCCCATCAGGCTGTTTCTTTTAGTAAGATTCACAAATTATTGCTCTGGTTGGATGGCTGGTCGTTAATTTTGGCCTTCGTCTTTGTTTACATTATTGGCTTGTATGGTTTTTTGAACTCTCTTTGGAATGTTTCAATGCTGTCTTTTTACTAATGAATAGAGTCACTTCTGTTAGCTGATTCAGTTTTCTTTGAACACAAATACCAGACTGCCACACGTCTAAATAGAAAGTGGTTGTTCTTGTTGGGATGTTGCACAAAATTCTATTAGATCTCATCCAAAACCTTATTATTTTTTATATCCATGTACGTATGCTTTTGGACATGCTTCTATTTTTCTTAGGCTAACCATTTCTTGTAGTAACTGTATTAGCTTTATTCAGCTACCTGTTTACCTTGAATGAGCCAGTGAAGGCCTTTTAGATGGCCATTTATAATTCACTAGTTCTTGGAGTGCTTTTATTTTTATAGACGTGGTACTACAAGCTTCATCATCTCATTGTGATGCATTGTTTTGGCACTATGACAGGTTATTGATGGACTTGAAACTCTTCTTAAAGGTGGTTACCTTGATGTGGTTCAGTCGATTAGGCAATCTATCTCTGGAGATCCTTACACTGTGGTTTTCGGCGATTGCTCGAGTTATGAATCCATTCCAGTTGTGCAAAACCTTCTGCAAGGATCATTCTGCAGATTATCGTTTAATGACACTATTACCAGTCAAATTCAGAGTGCTTGCATCATCCAGTCCGTACATGTCTGTGGCTCAGAAGAAGAAAGGCTATCAAAGGTATACATACAGTTAGTTCAAAGCTGAACATTGAATGTTAACTTTGTGCTCTAAATGTCAATATAGGGGGGAACTGTTAAATATTATGTGTATCAGTTTGATTTAACAAACTTTATAGCATATAGGTAGTTGAAAGCTGAATATAGATGCTACCTTTGTGCTCCAGATATTAATACGTAACAGAATCATTGAAGGTTGTGCGCAACAATTCGACTAATCATTGACACCAATTTTTACCTTGAATGCTTAATCATGTCATGAAGTAAATAATACTTACTTGAAACCATATCATTGTTATTGTATGACCTTTTAAAGCTGTTGTACATAAGAACGCTTTTTGCTCATTAATCTTTTAATTAGTCATAATAATGATCAGTTTTCCCTTTTTGTCCTTCTGAGATTTTTTATAAGATTGACTATAGTATATATGCTTATGGTCGCTGGTATTTATTTTGATTTAGTTTTTAATCAAATGACACCAAAAGAGATGATAATATGTAGTAATAAATTTTAAAGATCATCCTGGACCATATACCAACAAAGAATATAAGAACGGAGAAAGAGAGCGAAGAGATGGAGAAAATAAAGTTTGATTTTTAACATCAAGGTGAATTTCAGTGTCAGACTGCTCATTGACGGTGATATGAGTGGTGAGTGGCAAGCTGGTGGTGCATATATTTTTAGTTGACCTGAAACAAAACCCATATCTGGTTTGTGTCCTTTACTTATTACATTTGTATGTGCTCAATTAATTCGTACTATACCTTGTCGTAGTAGGAGCTGGGCAGGCCTTAGGCCAACCCCGGACTGCTCAAGCCTGGATGTGGTTGTACCATTTTATTCTTGTGCTAAACCTGCCCTCACTCTGATCAACTCATACCACAATCTGTCCAATAGAGGCTGGGCAGATAACCGTTCATTTGACCAAATGCATGTCCTCAGGTTTTCCTCTCTTTTTTTATAAGCAGCTTGAGTGTGGAGGCCAGATAAACCTTGTTAACCTCCCAACTTGCTTTTGGTTGCTCCTTTTATGCATTCCCTTCTCAGTATAATAATTTCATTCCACTTGGGTTTTAGAGAGAGTCTTTTAGTTCAATGGATTTAGGTACTTGATCTCAGCACCTTCCTTGGTGAAAGAAGAGGTCTTTGCTTGGAAATATGATGGATTAAGTTTCATTTTCCACTCAATTTATAGTTGTTGGATATTATATCTGGGATTTAGAATATTTTAGTAACAAATTATGAACGCACTGAAAATTTCCATAAAATCTTACATGCAACAAGTCCTTGTTACTTCAAGTGAAACAAGTAGGCCTATCAATCGTGTCGTATGAGATAGGTTTGTGTCGGATTTTAGCGGATTCGTGTCAAAAAGCACTCCATCCATACCCGATTCTTAAAGATTGTTGGCCAATAAGGGAAAAAAAAATAATATGTTGGGCATTCACACATTGTTCAAGATCACAGTATTAGCCATCTGAGACAAATCGGTTGCGATATCGGTAAATACGATCTAAAAGAAAAGATGAACATGAGAGTTTCAGGTCATATTGTGACTTCGCGAAACTGTATTGGCTGATTTGGTGACGAAAACTCGGCAACTCGGGAGTGACTCGGAGACAACTCAACCGATTCATGCGAGCTTCGGAGTTTATACGTACCATGGTATTGATTTGGAAAGTCTGACTCGGCCAACTTGTATCGGTATCGACCGATACTTTGAATGTTTCATCCATATCTTGGTTCAAACTTGTTATAATCAACTTGGTCCTGACAATTTAAGGTGCTGCATATAGTTGGGCAGGATAGCCAGTTTCATGAGTTAGTTACAGCCATGGGACTTACAAAGGGGTTTGAATTGTCTTGATGTGTGTGTAATTTTTTGTTTTTTGGGTTTTTTTTTTTTTTTTTGGGGGGGGGGGGGGGGAAAG